TTTGACTGTCTTGAATCTATTTAAGTATAAACAACCATCTATTTACAGGAAAAATAGTGTAAACTGATAAATCAATTGTCATTTAATGTCTTACTAAAGTCATTAATCAAATTTACTTGTTAAATAATAATCAAATAATAAGGTAATTAAATAGACTAATAACACTATAACTGTCTGACAGATCTATGTTGTTCTGTCTGTTTTCTTTTTAATTCAAAAATCTTATAAACATATGTACTTTCTTAAAACATTGCAAGAAAAAAATTTTTTTTTTAAAGACAATATTTTCAAAGTTATTTTTATGTTAATAAAAATGCACACAAAAAAAAAGCTTTTTTGAGAAAAATAGCGCATGATCCTCAGTGGAACGTGTGTTAAATTGTTTCCAGGGCAGTGGAACCTCTAATCATCTGCCCTGGAAACATGCCAAAATATTCAGAGCTCCAGCTAGTCTGGAAGGTAGTGAAAAATCAATTGCAATACTCCGCTACAAAAAAAGTGGGGACCATGCCCCCTTATCCATATATTAAAATCCATATATTTGCAGATGAAAGTCTTTACACTGATAATTACAGGTACTTAAAAAAAATTTTTTACACCTCTGATTTCATTGGACTCATCACCCTTGAAAATAGCCAGGTACAAATTTTTAGGCAAAAAGATCAAATGTTTTCAAAGTTATGTAACTTGAAACCTATAAATAAACATAGAAATTCTGAGGTGACAAATGGAACCTGGCTAACATCTGTTAAAAGTAAAATACTTTTAACAGATGTTAGCCATACTTCAGGATCTTCTTAGAGCCAGAGGCTAAAATTTTCAAGGAATTCTTATTTTACTAAATACTCTCAACTGTATAAAAACCAGCAAAATCTAAGATATAGGGTGACATTTTTAAAAATATCTGGGTCATTTAACATGGAATTACCTATTGGGAATTATATCTTTTACAAAATGTAACTATTTAAGTAACCTCAACAAGGAAACTAGAGAAATAAGCTTACATCATCTGATAAAGATTTAGGTATAATACTATTATCTGATCTTAAATTCCATGATTAAGTCAAGTTTTTAAAAAATACATTTTTATCGAGGAAAGTTACTTTATGGATTAAAATGTGTCAACATGGTCACCTTATTTAAAAAAAGATATTAAAATGTTATCTCAACTTTATAGCATAGACAATCATAAAATTTTTTCCACATGGTTTTGGTTCAAATTCTAAAATATTGGTTAAAATTAGGGATTCTCTATCAAAACAAAAATATAAAATAATCTAAAATTAAATTATTATTGACCTGGCCTCTCTCCACCCAACTTTAACTCTAAGTTTAAAAGGTCATATAAGTAAATTTTACAAAAAAAATCACATTAAATATTGTGTTTGTGTGTGTGTGTGAGAGTGTGAATATTTGTGAAGTTATTTGTACTTTTTAAAAAAAAGCTGTATTTTTATTTCTTATTCTAATTATCATCTCCTTTCTATTAATATTAAAATTAATAAATATCTATATTAAAGCTTTTATTAAATTAATCAATATTTATAATATCCTAAAAGATTTACCCCTAGTCCAAAACTAGATGTGAGATGAGTTCATATCATCTTTTAAATACTGAATTTTTAAAATATATCAGCAACTTCTAGTACAAAGTGTTTCACACCATTTTAGTCTTGAACCTTGAATTTGTGTCAATATAACAAACTTCAAGTTGAACTTTTTCAAAATCTGTATCAAAACTTTAAAGCTGACTTACTGAGTAGACTCTTCATAGGAAAACCCATCTGCATTTTCCTAAAATTCCGAATCTCCAAGTCAAAGCTAAATCAAAGCTAAACAGATTTTTTCAACCACTAATTAGTGTTGGAAGTTACTGGAAGGGAAAAGATGAAGATTGTAGAGCAAGATAACGATTGACAGACGACTTAAAAGATTGCAAATTATATGAATCAGGAAAGCAAGATGAAGGAAGCGAATTCCAAAGAACTGATGTTCGAGGAAAAAAACTAGACAAATAAGAGTTTTTGGAACACTTAGGAACAGTCACAGAAAAAGGATGAGACTTAATTGAATGGCGAGTAACACGAGAATAAATTTTAGTAGATGGCACAAGGGACGCTAGCTCTTTAGAGCAGTGCCCATTATAGTATTTGTAGAAAAGAGAAAGAGAAGCAACATTACGACGATGTGATAAAGGTTGGAGATTGGCTGCCAGAGCAGGTCCAACTATGTTTACAATGCGTTTTTGCACCTTGTCTAAAAGAGAAAGGGCATCATTAGAAGATCCGCCCCAGATGTGGCAACAGTATTCCATACAGGGACAGATTTGAGATTTATAGAGATAGAGAATAGAATCTGGAGTAAGAAAGTGTCGAGATCGATAAAGAGATGCAACCTTAGCAGATGCTAATTTTGCAATGAATTTGATATACGGTTTAAAAGAAAGATCAGAAGTAAGAGTTAATCCTAGAAGATGAATGGTAGATGACTCATCTAGTACATTACCATTCATAAATATAGAAAGATCTAAATTATTACGATAACGATTGGCCGAATAAAATTGAGTTTTATCTGAATTAAAGTTCACCAGCCACTGTGAGCCCCATGCTGTAGCAGAAGTGAGATCCTTTTCAAGCTCAGATACCCCCTCCAGGCAATCAGAGAGTGTAGGCTTCTTAAAAGACAACTTAAAAGATTTCAAATTAGATGAATCAGAGTTTTTGGAGTTTTTAGAGTCGAATAAGAGTTTTTGGAGACTTAGGAACAGTAACAGAAAAAGGATGAGACTTAATTGAATGACGAGTAACATGAGAATGAAGTTTAGTAGATGGCACAAGAGACGCTAGCTTTTTAGAGCAGTGCCCATTATAGTATTTGTAGAAAAGAGAAAGAGAAGCAACATTACGACGATGTGACAGAGGTTGAAGGTTTGCTGAAGATATTACATACTAATATTTTCCTTAACTTTTCAAAAGTTTTGCCTATCTTTTTTATGCCAGGTTGTTTTTTTTTTCTCAGTTTTTTCTTTATCAACTTGAAGTTTTATGGGACTAGAAGTTAGAATTCATGATATTTTTTTAAGGGCGACCTTTTTTAGTTTGTTTCTGTGGTTAAGCTTATGGGTAGGGAAACATGTTATTGCTTTTCTGATTTGCAAAAGAATTTTATTTTCATGATGGTTTTTAAAGACAGTCGATCTCTTACAGTGAATGGCAGGAGCTCATAATTTTTGTCTTTACTTAGTGGATAAAAACCACTTCTTTTAAAACTGTGTATAATGTTACTTGGTGTAAATGCTAAGAGAAAAGCTTGTCCAACAATTGACACTCTATAGATTGTTGCTGGTTTCCCACCATTCCCTGTTTTCAACATCAAATCCTTTATTTTATTGTTGTAATAAGTGCTAAATGGGGCAAATACGCTTTTGTCTAAGGGCTGCATTTTGAGACTCTTGTGCAGATAAAACTTTATTATTGTAACTTTATAATTTATCAGCTGGATTGTTGGTATTGGTATCTCTTATGCTCTCATGTTTTTCATAACAAAAAATGGATGGATTTTTTTACTTTAACAAATATGCTTTACAAAATGTTTCATAAATTATGTTTAATAACTTTTTTAAAGAATTATTTTTAAACAAATTTTACTATAAATATTCACTAAATTAGGCAAGTGTGTACCTTAGTGGTACCACCTCGGTACACAAGATTTGCTTCTTCACTAGAAAAGTACACCACTAGAAAATAGTTTAAAATATATTACCATATAATATTAAGTTAAGAGTTAACTAGTTTTAAGCATGTGTAAATGTAGATGAATATATGCTTTAAAAATTGTGATTATTAGTTCAAAATTAAATTTGGTGCTTAATTTTATGGAAAAATGTCCTAAATAAATTACTTTTAGATATAGTAAACAAAATTTTTAGTGCAACAACACATGTGTTAAGAAGTGGTGTAACAACTTCTTATGAGCCTCTAGTGGCCAATACATGCAAATAGTGTTTTAGCTTCAGTTCATTATACTTGTATACTGGAGTCTTGATGCAGATTTATATAATTTTTTAAACTTTGACATCAAATTAGAGTACTATCCTTAAGTTTTATACCTATGTTTTTATATGATTCTGAATTAGTATGATATATTATTTTTAATAAAATTTGCCTAAAAAAATTTTTTTTTTTTAAATTTATTAAAAATGATTTGTTTTTATTTAAAACATTGATGAATATATATATATATATATATATATATATATATATATATATATATATATATATATATATATATATATATATATATAAATATAATATATATATATATATATATATATATATATATATATATATATATATATATATATATATATATATATATATATAAACAATTTAAAAAAATAATTTAAAATTTTTTCAATTTAAAATTTTTATATGATTCTGAATTAGTATGATATATTATTTTTAATAAAATTTGCTTAAAAAAAATTTTTTTTTTTTAAATTTATTGAAAATGATTTGTTTTTATTTAAAACATTGATGAATATATATATATATATATATATATATATATATATATATATATATATATATATATATATATATATATATATATATATATATATATATATATATATATATATATATATATATATATATATATATATATATATATATATATATATATATATATATATATATATATATATATATATATATATATAAACAATTTAAAATGTATTCTACAAAAAGAGTGCTCAATGCTCTTAAAAGAACAGAGCAATTACAAATTAGTAGAAAATCACTTAGCAAAATTTTTTCTCATTTAACACTGTATATATATATATATATATATATATATATATATATATATATATATATATATATATATATATATATATATATATATATATATATATATATATATATTATTTGTCGAAACAGTTTAACATAAAAATATATTAGAAAAAAACATTTTAAATAAGTTTTAAAAAAATAACTTACTTTATATGCGTCTTTATCATAATAATATTCAAACTTCCTTTTACGTGCATCCAATTTAAAGTAATATTTTATTTCATTTTTTTTCCCTTTTTCAACTAGTACTAAGTAACCTTCGTTAATAGCATCTACCTGATTGTTCATGACATGTGAAGCTCTAACTGATGGCCGTTTCTTAAAATTTACCAGTGTTACAGTGTTTAAACTGTTTTTGCAAGCCGATAACATAATAAGTTAACATTACCAAGCGGTATTACGAGATCTACAATTAGATTACAAATTCATTACGAATCTAAAATTTAAAATCTTTTGTTAAGATTACACTTTAATATCTAACAGTAAATGTACAGTATATTTTATTTAACCAAGTAATGTTTAAAGTCAGCGGTTAAGCGTTACAAATGTATACATTTCCAATTAAGTTTTTTCCGCCGTTAAACTTATTCAAAATCTATTTTCGTAAAAGCAAAATTATGTTTGCAGATAAAGCCGATCGGTAAATTTAAAAGTAAATTTTAAAACTTCATTTTATGGTTGATAAAGAACTTTACTATTGTTTCTTTAAAATGTATATTAATATATACAAACCCTTTTAAATGAAGGTGCAGGTGCTGCTCGTCTTAAAACAAAAACTTCTTCAATCGTCTCTCAGGTCATACCTCCTTACAGCTTAAATATTATTATTCTATTTTTTGTTTTATTATTATTATTGGTTCAAAAAGGAAAGGTAGTCAATGTTCATAATTCACAAATAATAAAAGTTCTATATGTTTTTATCAAGGAGGTATAATATAATACGCTAAGTTATAATAGCTACGTTATAATACGCTAGCTACGCTGTTATAAATCCTTGTTATAATATTATATTGTTATAATTATAAATCCTTGTTATAATATTATATTGTTATAATTATAAATCCTTGTTATAATATTATATTGTTATAATTATAAATCCTTGTTATAATATTATATTGTTATAATTATAAATCCTTGTTATAATATTATATTGTTATAATTATAAATCCTTGTTATAATATTATATTGTTATAATTATAAATCCTTGTTATAATATTATATTGTTATAATTATAAATCCTTGTTATAATATTATATTGTTATAATTATAACTCCTTGTTATAATAGCTACGCTATTAAAACTCCTTGGTTTTTATTCATTTAAATGTTTTACGAGTTTTCATTTATCCTTTGATTAAGAACTGCGAGCAAATGAGTATGGCAATGAGCGAATGAGTATGGCAAAAAAGTTGGATTTTTTATTAAAAACTCATTAAAAATAAGTAGTCAGTTGATGCGCTCACTTTAAAATACAAGAACAAGATTTATCTTAATTTAAAACAGTGAGATTGTTTGGATTATTAGGACGGTAATTTTTTTTTATATTGATATATATTGCTAACGATTTTTGGAAGAACTGTCAATACTTAAAAATTTTGTTGTCTTTAGCTTGTAATCAGAGAAGTTTTTAGAAGACCAGTTTAAAATCAACTCTGAAAGGTTTATTTATAAATAAAGTTTTATTTATTAATATATTTTCTATAGTAGGTAAAACGAGGATGGCAAATTAGGAAAGGTGAATTATTATATAGACATTCAAAAAAAAATTAAAAATGGGTGGAAACAAGGTTATATATATAAATTGTATTTTAAAATACCAACAAGATTTTCTAAATATTTTTAATGTGGTTTCATACGCAAAGCAAATTTATATACAAATGTATATTTCAAAATGGTAGATGATCAAAGCTGTCGCTAGCTATTGCACAATCTTATTCAAAAAAATAGTTTTTGCTGATTTATGATTGAATTACTAAAGACGGACGTTGAAAAGTCAGGCGTTTTCAGATATAAAAAACGTACATCTCCAGCACTAAATAAAGCGCCCAAACCCATTTGTGCGGTCGTGGCGCAGTGGTTAGAGCGCTTGCTTTATAAGCAGGAGTTCCAGGTTCAAAACGAGCTTTGAGACATATTTCGTGTCACGGTATGGAAGGAGGTGTGATCTTTTGAATTTAATGCACTTCCGCAGTGCTCTGTGACAAGACCGTTAGGACTTCTTGGAGCACCTAAAATAACCAATAAAAAAGTAATATGTTTTATTTTTGTCATTTTGGAAAAAATGCAATTGGCTTTATTACTCTAAATTAAATGCTAAAAGGTAGGTATAGAAATTTGTTGGATAATCTTTGAAATGATATTTCACAACAATTCGGTAACTCAATTTTTTTTTCGAGAAAGATAATGCTCTATTTCATAGAACAAAGACAAATACTCTTACGGTTCATCATTAAGAAAATTCAATGATTAGAATGACAGCGTTTTTGCAGAATTTCAATTGCAGCGTTTTTGGGATCAAAAAATTTAAATTTGTTGTTTGTTACCTAAAACACTGACAACGCGCGCGTAATTGTGTTAGTGTCGTTTACGCGAGAAAATAATGATTTAACGAACAAATTCGAATTTCTTGATCCAAAGTACAATATAAAAAAACTTCATATATTTTAGAAAAATTATTTCTACCTGTACCTAAGACACGTAATACCCACGCGTATTTGTGTTGAAGTTGTTTACGCGTTCAAAGACTAACTTAAATTAAAAAATGCGTTTTCTTTAAACTAAAACGTGCACTATAGCTGTTTGAAAAAGACTTTGATCATTAACTTGGACCTCACCAATATTTTTATCACTATATCTTTGTTTTTACACACTTTTCCTGGAGGCACCATCAAAACTACCTTTAAAGTAAAGTGTACCTTTAAACTTTTCCCCACTTTCAACGAATATTCTTATAGAGTCTTGACATTCAGTTAAAATTATTATCCTTATCAAAGTATGATTAAACATACTCTGCATAGGCGTTGAAGCAGATGTTTCTCTTACAATTACACTCTCAGGATAACATTTCTGTTTTCCATTCTTAATTTTATGAAGTGAAGCATAAATATCTGAATTCAGTATTATGAATAAATTTCTAAAAATTCGATACTGTTCATCAGAAAGATTACACAAAATTTTTAAGCACAAAATATCTTAGGTTTTTATTTTTATTGAAAAACTTACATACTTTACTTAAACATTTTTAATAACAAAATTCTTTTTGGTAGGGTCTTTTTTATTTCAAAGTTTTTGAAGCAAATGCCAGTGCTTCAACAGGATGTTAAGCCGATTAGACATTTTTGATTAGATAATATTTAATACATGTAAAGTATTTTTTTAATTTGTTTTAATTCAATTGGTTTATGATTTTTTTATACCCTCTGCTTCTATCACTTAAATATTTTCAGTCCTTGTTTTTTCTACCTGGACATATATATATTATGTATAATAAAAACAATGTTTTAATGATTAAACTCATTATCATTAAAAAGTTGTTGAATCATTGTATTTTCTAACATTGGGATTAATCTTCTTTGATTTTTAATTGTCGGCTGGTATTCATATTAATTTAGCCTTGAATTACAGGACATTTCAGGTTCACAGGGATTTCTCATATTAGGTTTACAGAGTACCTATGTTTAGCTTTTTCTTAGTTGAATTTCTTAAGAAGTATATTTGATAAAATCCCAGCTTCTCATTTGACAGTCGAAGTTATTTTTGTTGTAATTTGGTAATCGCGAAGTTGTATTTGACTATTAAAACGCTTTCCAGGAAGTTTCAAGAAATATCTATCACATATCAAATATGCTCTGACTGTTTTTGAAATATTACAAATATTTTGAAACTTTAATAAATATGTTTTTAGGTGAACCATTAATAACGGAGAGTGCAAAAATCAAATTATACTATTTTAATTTAAACAACTTAATTTCGCGGCCAATGTATTGAATTCTGTCATTACGTTGAATAAATCCAGTATTGAGAAAATTGTGAAGAACTAACAAAAATATGAATACAAGTTTGTGTTTTTTTTTAAATATTATAAAAATCCTCCTTTTTTAAAATTTTTATTGTACCCTATATTCAACAATTGCAATTTTGGGATTTTTTAGGCTGGACGTCTAAGAGTTACTTATCTCAAAGACTAAAAAAAGAGATTTCTCTTGATACCAGGAGCGGGTTTTGTCACTTGCTAAGGAGGGGGCTAAAATGGGCTAAAATAATCTAAAAAAAAAAAAGGTCCGCATTTTTTCATTTATAAGTGACTTTTTTTTCTAACTTTTTGTACTTTAGTGTAATAATCAAGTTCATATACGTATAAATACATATAATTTTTTTTGTCAGTATAATACTCCAAATCTGTATAATAGTCAATTTACAAAAGAGAAATTTTTGAAAAAAAGTCCTAAGTGAGGGGCTACTACCCCATGCCCCCCTCCCCCTAAAACCCGCCACTGCTTGACACCAACTCAAAAATGGAAGTTCTAGTTCTATATAAAGAAAAACAAAACTTTTTATAATAAAAACATTTTTTAAATGCCTTACTCAAATATCACGGCGACATTTATTTTGGGATGACTAAAAAACTGGATTAATTGGAAAAGCGCTATTCTTGTCTGAAGTTAACCAAAAAAAAAAGGTTTGTTATAGATAGCTATTGCACAATTTATTTTTATAAAGAAGGTAGTCTTATAGATTATAATAAAGAAGTGTTGATTTTTTCAAATATAATTGAATATGATAATATTTTTAAAAATATTAACCAACACCTTGCCGCGCTTACTATATACTAAATGTTTTAACGCTAAAGTTACTATAGTTACATTTACTAACGCTTATTAGCTTGGAAAGGATAGTTTCAGTTATTAAAAAAAATTACAGTTATTTATAAATAGTATATATATATATATATATATATATATATATATATATATATATATATATATATATATATATATATATATATATATATATATATTCTGCAATCGGTTGAATAGTAGTAAAACATTGAATTCTTAAATTAAATAATCACCGCTATCAAGGAAATTCCATGACATTTTTTATATTAAAATTAGCAATTATCAATACACAAAAACTTGTTTTGTTAGATTTTGGTAATATAAACATGGAGTTTATGATACACAAAAAATTTCCCCATTAACAAAGTTTTACATCACAGTTAGAATTAATAATCTAACTTTATATTGCGACAACGTACTACATTATGACGCATTAGAAAGTCACTTCTCTAGCTGCAACAAGGTTTTATTTAGAGAGGAAGATTAAATAAAAACATAATTGACGCTAATTGAAAATCCCATCAGTTTTGCTACCAAATGTTATTATTACAAAAGTAAAAGTAAAGTACAAGGCTTTTTCAAGATAAATTTATGTGTTTGATTTTAAAATATGGATTTGTTAGAAGCAACTTTTTCCTGTTAATAGCAAATTATGATACACAAAGTAAATTTAAAATTATAATTAATAATCAGTTGTTAAGCCTCTCCAATATGCTGATTTGTTGCAGTTATACACGTAGATAGCAATTAAGATGATTTTTACTAATGCTTGAAATATTTTTGAGTTTTTAAATTTATAGAACACCGACTTTAATTTTATAACTTTCTGAAAATCAAATTTTGGTAGGCGCTCATGTCACTTTCTACAGAACGAAACATTATAGTTTTACGTAGATGTTTCTTGAATACAACTAAAAATTCAAATCAAAGCAATAGTTAAATTTATTTGAGTTTTAAGTTAACTTTAGTAAAAAAATATTATTCTTATAAACTCTAAGTAATTTAAAATTCTTTTTTAAGCAATGTTAAGGTTGTTTGTAAAGGTTCTTGTTTATTGGAATTATACGGTAAAGAGAGACTAATAACAACAGTTATAAAAAAATACTAGGTTCCTTAAATATAGTAACACCCTAGGATTTGGGGAGGTGAATACTCGATATTATTCAATAAATTTAAACTAATTACATTTAAGCTAAAGAATTAAGACAATTAAGTGTGATTCCTTTGGCTTCAATTTTCTCTCTCGCTCTTTCTTGAGTTTTTTCAGTTATAAAAAAATATAAAATATTGGAGCAAATTAAAAGAGAAAATTAATTTAAGTAAAAAAGTCGAACCATACATAGATTACAAAAAGCAAAAAATGTAACGATGTTACTGTGCATGGTTAGACGCCAATAAAATATGATGTCAAAATCACGTGATACATCGATAGTGTTGCAATTCGGTAAATATTTGCGTTACTTAAACTTTTGAAGTTTTGAAGAGATTTTCTTCCGAAAAGTGATTCAAAAAAATTCTTTAGATGACAGAAATGAACATAATAGTATTTCAAAAATCAGCTTTTAAAAAACTTTTATTCTAATACCGTTTGTAGGTATGATAATTTATCAAAAATAGCTTTATATAATTTAATATAATTTTGAGTGTTGCTTAGTTGTTTGGAATTTTTTTTTTAATTGCTTTTCTAACGTTTTAAATTTATTATTACACTTAGTTGACATCTGTTTATTAATTCTATTTGCTTCACGGTTTTTTCTAATTTATTTAAATTGTCAAGTAACAAGTAAAAAAAGAATATTGTAGCGTATATTATTTGCAGGTAGTTCACATTATATCACATTTTAAATGTTTCTATTATATAAAAAATGTTAATTTAAATGTTTCTATTATATAAAATTGTTAACCACAAGTTTTTTTAACATTTGTTAAGTAAAAAGAAACAAAAAAAAGACATTGATTTTATACATTTCAACGTCTTTTGTAATCCTTATAAGAATTCTCTAATTTTTTATAACTCTATAAAGTTTATACAATTTTTTAACTCTTATAATAATCGCTTATAAACTGTTTTTATTTTATATAATAAATGAAGAAAAAAAAAAGTTGTTTAAAAAAAGAAAGGGTGGTCTGTGTACGTTTTATAAGATTTATATCCTAATTTTTATTACTTTTTTTTATTGATTAACTTTTTTGTTCTAATTTTAAAATCAAAACAAAGAATATTTTGTTTTTGAACCTTAACGTTTTTATGATCGGAATTTTTTAATTTTTTCAGTTTTAGCTTTCGTCCATTTTTAATGTTTGGTTTTGAAATTTGTCAACTACCATGTACTCAAATAAATTTAACTATTGCTTTGATTTGAATTTTTAGTTGTATTCAAGAAACATCTACGTAAAACTATAATGTTTCGTTCTGTAGAAAGTGACATGAGCGCCTACATTCATCAACGTTTAAATGTTCCGTGTAAGCCGCAAAGAGCAATTTTAATTATGCGTGACACTAGTCCTCTTGTGAATAAAAAAGATCTTACACATTTTGATTTTCAATCTACAAACGGCTGGAAAGAAAATACACTGAACGCAGAAGAAAGCAGCGAAGATAGCGAGCCGAATAAGGATATAATATCTATGAAAGGACGTAAGTCTAGCGTAATGTCATTAAGTAACGTCAAAAGAAAAATCTCGTCTACTTTCCAAAGGAAAAACTCAATAACACATATGTCTACAGAAACTCAGCCTCATATTTCACAACGAAAAAATAGTATCATTAAAGACGATGTATCCGAGATTTTAAATAAACGTCAAAACAAAACAAATACTACACGTGCATCTGTTTCCAGCTACCCTGCCAGAAAAGAAAGTATTATAGGGCGCGAGGCGAACGCACTTAACACTGCTTTGGACAAACTGAGTAGCGCCCCTTTAGAAAAAGAACTTTACAACGAGTATCATTTAGATAAATGTAAAGAACATGAATATAATGACAGTAATAAAATCAACTATTATATAGAGAAAAATAGAAACGAAAGTAGTTTTGGATGTAGATCCATTCTCCAATCAATAAATTCCATTGCTGAACCTTTAAAAAACTTTTGTTTGTTCTTACTAGGTAACAAATCCACCGGAAAAACAGGTATTTATTTTTCACTTATTGTATGCAAACTAAATAATCCAAGGTTAAAAAATATTTTTTCATTTTAATCAAAAAGAAATCATTCTAACTTTTATTATTTGGCTCATACTTGAATCATTCTATAAAATTTCCTCGACCACTCTTGACCTTTAACAGTAATTTCTTATAAAATCTTAAATATTTTAAAAATTATTGTTTTGCAATGTTTGTTGACATAAGAACAGTGGTTTAAATTTATGGCTTTACTTATTTAAAATTTATGATAAAACTGGCCATTGAGCCTGTTTGCTTTTTATTTAAAGTTCTTTATTCTTTTCTCGTTCAATTGTTTTTACTTTTTATCAACAAATGTCAATTTGAAACTAATTTACTTAATATTTAGAAAAGTAAGGATTACTTAAACATTTTGCTTGTTTCTTTTAAGTCAACAATAGAGAGTGTTTGTAAAAATACCTAATCCGCTGTCTGTATGTTAGAATGGATTAGATAAAATCAATATTATTACCACGTTCGTACACGTTCTTCAAACACATCAAACAAATGTTTTAGCACTAATAAGTAACATTAAGCAATGAAGATAAAATTATGTTTTAAAATAAACAATGATAAACAAATTATTTTTTATTTTTTTAGCTAATGCGTAAAGCAACTTTTTAAATCGATTTACATGTTTACACAAATAACATTAATATATATAAAAAGAAGTAGCAGATCTAGTATTTATAGTGTTCAAAATAATGGGGGTAAAAATAAAATTTTTCTTTATGTTTTAAATAAGATTTTTTTTTCTAAAATTGACGGTTTTTTGAAGCACGAGGTTAAAACTGTTGTTTTAGTTCTACAGTGTAATGCTAGCGGTTCCTTTGTTCCGGCGTTTCAAAAAACATTGAACTTGGCTACCAATTAGGTGGCCGCTTTTAGCGCATGTCTTTAATTATCCACTAAACAATAAATAAGCAAAACTACAAGGGACTGCTAAAAATGCCAAAGAGTACTTTTTCAAGATGTAACTGAAGACAAGAAAGTTGTAATATAAAACATTAGATGTAATTGAGAACATCAAAGTTGTAATTAAGAAACGTAACATGTAATTAAGAACAGAGAAAGTTGTAAATAAGAAAACATAAGATTATGGGATAGCATAAAACATATTATGTCTTATGTTCTAATCAAACATCCTTATTTATTTATATGAAAAGGATAAGTTTACAATATACCTAAAAGTTTTCTAATTCAAATACCGAAAATCCTGGAAAATTATTTGCGTTTTAATTTAATAATATTTTTTACTTGTTTAAAAGTTCAAACTTTTAAAAATGTTAAAAATATCAGAAATATATCTACACATATAATAGACTTAAATAAGCATGAATGCAATTTTACTTACATATAGGTAGTAAGTGTTAATATTTAGATGCAAAATGTTAAGAACAAAGTATAAGTTCAATCAACGAAATAAAAATTAAAAGATACAGAAAATTAACGCATTTTTCTGTTTTAAGGTGGCACACAACTGAAAATAAGTTTTTGAAAAAACTCAATATTAGGATTTTTTTGGTATTTTGATTCTATAATTATAACATTTAATGGAAAAGTTAACCTCGAAAACAATATTAAATTTGATCTAATTGCATTTTATTAGATGATAGTAAAAAAGTCTACACCCTCAATTTACTGAACTTTCCTAAAAATGTCCACACCCCATGTACGCTCAACTGTAAGCACCATATTGCGGATTTCAAATTAATCCTGTAAAAGCTTTTCTTTAGAGAAGTTTTGCATGGTACTAAAAAATTTGAAATTTTTTACTACCATACAAATAAAAAACTTTATTTTATTAGCTTTCTTTTTTATAACATCTTGGTTTGCATAATTTTTTATTTATTTTTAGCATTAACAGTTCGCTATCTCACCGGAAGGTATATTCACGAATACAAATCTGTTCCAGGTAAGTCAAAAAAAAATGGCGCAAAAATACTTGATTATTTTGATTATAACAAAATGTAGATTAATAAAATCTTTACTAAGTCATTTATAACCAATCATTTACAGTTAGTAGTTTAAAACCATTATCGAAGTCCAATAATTTATAACCAAAATAATAACTAAACGTAAAGCAGCAACAACATGATTGCTTCTATTTTTGAGATTTTACACATTTTTTATAAAAATATAGAAGAGAAGTATACAAGAACGCTAACTATCGAGGACGAGCTTGCAGATGTCAACATCTATGTAAAAGATATTGAACAGCTGGTACAGTGTTTTTCTAATTATTAAAGATAGATTTTTAAATTTTATGTATTATATATTTTTTAAGTCTAAGGTTTATCTTATAGTTATGCGGCATAAATTTATTCAATTTTCTAGCTTGAATAAACTCTAGATTGGGGAAAATAGGAAAACTGTTACTATGTAATCAATTAAAAAAATAACGATTCAAAAATTCTAAAAATTTAATTCATTAAAATATTAACTAAATAAATTTAAATCATAATCATAAATATTAAAAAACAAAATAAATTTTAGCATTATTAATAATGAAATAAATTATGACAATAAAAACAAAAAGTTAACCTAAAAGATTAAAAGAAATAAGCATTTTTATTACAAAATTATTAGACAGTGTGTAATAATTTTGTAATAAAAATCTTTTAGGATAACTTTTAGACACCAGCGATTTTCAACTTTTTTTTGGAAAAATCAATTGCTTCAAGCGGGAGTTTCTTTATTACACTATATAAAAAAAGATTGTTACCATAATTGTATGCATTTTTTATTTAAAATAAATTATTTAGAAATAATTAAATTAAAAAAGTAGTTAATCTATAAAACTATAATGTGGAAAATTTGAAAGTTGCAAATTTTCTAGATTCTATCTTATTTTAATTTATTTTTCTTGCATATAATTCTTTATGAAACATAAACTAGAATGAGTTATAATTAATGAGTTCTTGAAAAGAATGCTGATGTAAAACATTTCTCCTTGTTTTTTCATTTGAAATGAAACGTAAATAATCTATTTTTCAATTTTTAAACTTTTTAGACATGTTTGAGTCCTGTAAAATGGGTTTTACATAAAAGCCATATAATTAGATGAACGTATGTAAATAAAAAGTTTTAAAAAAACATGCAATATATTTGGGTTTATATATATATATATATATATATATATATATATATATATATATATATATATATATATATATATATATATATATATATATATATATATATATATATATATATATATATATATATATATATATATATATATATATATATATATATATATATATATATATATATATATATATATATATATAAACAAACTTAATGCAGGAAAAAATAAATAAACCGATTGAAGTTTTTAGTTTTGTTTATGTTTACATTTTTTAATGACGTTTTCTACAAAAAATGGCGTCTTCAAAGCGGTTTATTTATGTTGATTTTACAAACTTATTTTTCAAATAAGATAGCTAGTTAATTTGAAATTTTTTTATTTTTGAATCAACTCTTATTTCCTTAAAAACTACCTTATTTTCTTAAAAATCTACTCCAGCTTAAAGCAACTAAACACCAAAAATTGCTGGTACCTATTACACAGTTACCAATATAAAAAACACTTAATCCCTGTAATAAATATAAATAGTTTTATTCTTCTCTTGTAAAAATGCTTAAAATGAGTTTACAAGGTTTACAAGATACACTGACGATATTTCTTTTTATTTTAAATTTTTATGATCTGCCGGTTAACTACGGAATGACCGACGTTAGTTTTAAAAAATTTAATTGATTTTCATTACATCTAAACTGTTAAACTTATACATACTTGTAACATTAAGTTAAAATCAATTTTACAGAAAAATTACTTTACGCTCTTTAAAAATTTATTAGTATTTATCAACACCCTACTTTTTTTGCTGGAAATAATCAACTGTGTTCTTTTTTCTTCATATCAAAGTTAGGAAAAATGAAAGCGAGGAAAGTCTATAGCTGTCTAAACTAAGTCGTGATTTAAATTATAAGTTATTTTTTATACTTTCGTAAATAAAAAAAACACTTTTGATAATCTGTAGCAGACAGCAACTTCTCTTCTTAATGTTGGTGTTAATTGTTTACGATTTTATAAATTTTCAAGCATAAAGGAAGATATATTGGGTGAGATTTTCTTTTTTTCTTTGGTTAATGGGGGTCCTTATTTTAATGGAGACCCCTGGGCTGTAGCACACCCTACCCATACCTAAATCAGATTTGTCCAGTATTGCAATTGTTGCGTATTCACTTTAAAAACTTTAGGGGTTGAATGCTTTTATTTTATTATCTCTTTTTAACATCTTTTTTATTTCATATTTTATTACTTCTTTTAAATACTTGGGATACCTGTTGCTTCGGACTGAAAATATGAATTATTAATTTATTTTTTTATTTTTCATTTTAGAAAAAAGAAATAGAACTGTTTGAAAACTCTGGAATCATGGTTCTTTATTCAGTGGTCGATCGGTATTCATTTGTCACCGCAAAGGTTTTATTAAAACATTTAACAGAAAATTCAATAGCTAATAAGCACCCAATTATGCTAATCGGAACAAAAAAAGATTTGGCAAAATATCGCAAGGTTACTCGAGAAGAAGGTTTTGACTTAGCAAATAAAAACAATTGCTCTTTTTTTGAAGTATCAGCGGCTGCTGATAAAAAAGTCAAAGATTGCTTTCAAAGTGCTTTTCGTCAAATACAAGTAAGGAAGTTATTGAGCACAACAAATTCAGAAAATTCTACAATTTTCAATCCTTCTAAAATATCACACGGTGGGTTTTCTCGACATGGCTCTGTATAAAAAACTAACTTTAAATAGCTGGTTTTACTATTTAGTCAGAGTTGGTCAAGCAGACGTCAGCAGTTCAGAAAAAAACTTGATGCCATAATAAATCGTAAACAAAAAAACCTTTAAAATAGATAAAAAGATGGCGCATAACTTTTCCTATATAGCTGTTGTGACTATTCAAAAACAAATAATACGAAAAATTATTTTGGATATAAAATTAATTCTAGTAACTAAACCAGTTCAAACAAATGCTGAAAATGCCATTTATAAAATACTGAATTGCAAAAATAAAAATTGATTTTGTGACGTATTATTTAAAGTTTTACCATTGCTGCAACCAGAAAAATTAAATTAAATTAAAATAAAGAAATCGTTAAAAGTAACTTGAAAATAACGGATGTATATATAACTTATTAAGTTGACATTTACAAAGTTTATGTTTGTGTAAGTTTTAATACATGCAACTTTGTATGAAAAAAAAAAAAGAGTGATAAAAAATTATGTTGTTTAACAAGTGCAAGCGTCCAGACTACAAAACCATATTTTAGAAATATATCTTCGAGGGAGCCTTATACCTCTAGCTGCGGCATTTTATCTAACGACGCTGACTTTATCACTTTTAGAATATTGAAGTTTTTTTATAAAATAGACAAATGATAAGGTTTTAAAGTTCACATAGTTTATAACTTTTTATTTATATATAATGATAAAGTATCATTATATAACAAAATAAAAACAGTTAATAATAATAATACTCTAAAGTATTTAGGTATTACAATATTGAAAGTTCAGGTATGAGATGAGAAACCTATAAGAAAAATGAAACTGTTATATATAGTTGGCCACCAATGACTTAACACTACCGCCTATTGGGGGCAGCCTCAATTTGCCCCCTAAAAATTTACGGAAGGCTAATGGAATTCCAAAAGGTTGATTTTTCGTCAGAATGTTACCATACCTGCCGGGAGGGATTATAACTCTGGTTTGAACCTATCTGATTGAGTTTTTCTAATATATAACTCAATTTTTTTTGTCCTGTCATAAATTCTATGTTATTTGGTGTTAAATATCGTCGGTATACAAGGGAAATTGCACTCCATTTTTGGCAGTATTGGGAAGTCCATTTTTGGCAGTATGGAGTTATTTATACCACTATTTAAAATTTTTAATTCTCTATCGTTTGATATACCACACAAATTTAATAAATCAATTGTTAATGAGTTATTAAGATTTTTTATTCCAACTATTAGACAAAAACTTATTTAAACTGTTACGCAAATTATTTGTTCATTATCTCAAAATGATGTTATTGGACTTACCGATGTTTTTACCGACGATATGCATGTATAAATGCATATATAACACTAAATAACCAATATACCTTAAACTAACTTTACCAAAAACTACCTTAATAAAAGACAACAGTGTGTTATTATAAATAGAAAAAGCAACTCGGATTTACTAAAAACAAAATGCGTTGTATTCTTGCTCCTCTTTTATTTCTTATTTATATAAACGATCTTCCAAATGCTTCTAATATCTTTAAAACTTTAATGTTGGTCAATAATAAAAACTTATTTTACTCATGAAAGACAATCGAAGAACTTTTAAAAAAAACCAATGTTTAACTAAAAAAAATTTATATATGGTTTAAATCAAATAAACTCATTATAGAAAAAACCTAAATATATACTATTCCACTCAAATCAAAAAATTAAAAAAGTACACTTGAACCTACCAAAAATTAATGTTTCCAGATACACCGTAGATGTTTCCAGATACACCGTAAGAAGAAAGCTTATGGAGAAGACCAGCATACCAAACTTTATCAAACGCTTTAGAAATGTCAAGAGCGATGACCTTAATCTATCCACCTTTATCTAATTCACGATAAAACCTATTGGTTATTACTGTTAGCAAATCAGCCGTAGAACGAGAAGATCAAAATCCATATTAATAATCAGAAAGTAAGTTATTAGATTTAAGATGAGAGATTAAGTGTTTGTTAATTTAAGATTCAAAAACCTTTAAGATTCAAAAACCTTTAAGATTCAAAAACCTGGATTTTGATCTTCTCGTTCTACGGCTGATTTGCTAACAGTAATAACCAATAGGTTTTATCGTGCATTAGATAAAGGTGGATAGATTAAGGTCATCGCTCTTGACATTTCTAAAGCGTTTGATAAAGTTTGGTATGCTGGTCTTCTCCATAAGCTTTTTTCTTACGGTGTATCTGGAAACATCTTTAAGATTATTGAATCCTTCCTTTTCAATCGTAGTATAAAAGTTGTTATTGATGGACAGCACTCTTCTTCATATCCTGTAACTTTAGGGGTTCCTAAAGGTTCAATCCTTGGCCCTATAATCTTTTTAATTTACATTTACGATCTTCCAAATATTCTCACATATATGATACTAGCAATTATTCTTGTCATGATAAGAAGCCAACTCTCGCTGATTGCTTGGAGGGGCATTTGAGCTTGAAAAGGATCTCAGTTCTGCTACAGCATGGGACTTACTGTGGCTTGTGAACTTTAATTCAGATAAAACTCAATTTTTTTCAGCCAATTGTTATCGCAATAATTTAGACCTTCCTATTTTTATGAAGGTAATGTACTCAACGAGTCATCTACCCTTCATCTTCTAGGATTGACTCTTACTTCTGATCTTTCTTGGAAACCATATATCAGATACATTGAAAAATTAGTATATTTCTGCTAACATTGCATCTTTTTATCGTGCTCGACACTTTCTTACTCCGAATTCTATTTTCTATCTCTATAAATCTCAAATCCAGCCTTGAAAATCTCAAATCCGGCCTATAGAATACTGTTGCCATATCTGGGGTGAATCTTTTAATGCCTTTTTTCTTTTAGACAAGCTGCAAAAAAGCATTGTAAACATAGTTTGATCTGCTCTTGCAGCCAACCTTCAACCATTACCCCATCGTCGTAATGTTGCTTCTCTTTCTCTTTAATTCAAATACCATAATAGACACTGCTTTAAAGAACCAGCGTCTTTTGTGCTATCTACTGAAATTCATTCTCGTGTTACTCGTCATTTTATAAGTCTCATCCTTTTTCTGTGACTGTTCCTAAGTGCTCCAAAAGCTCTCATTCCTCTAGCTTTTTTCCTCGAACATCAGTTCCTTGGAATTTGCTTCCTTCATCTTGCTTTGCTGATTCATATAACTTGCAATCTTTTATGTCGTCTATCAATCGTTATCTTGCTCTGCAATCTTTATCTTTTCTCTTCCAGTAACTTCCAACACTAATTAGTGGTTGCTTTCAACCTTTTTTAAAGAGAAAAAAGAAAGTAAAAAAAAAGTAAAGTAAGTAAATTCATAACAAAAAATCTATGTTATAAGGTCCTATGGTCATTTCAAAAAAAGGGCAACTTTGAAACAGCCACTGTTTATAATCTTTACTTTGTAAAAAACGCAGTTGTTCCAGTTATTTTAAGCCAAAGATATATTATATAACTAGACGTCTAACTTGCGGGATTTTATTGGACAAAAAACGAAGCCTATTTTTTTTGTTTATAAAAATAGCCCGCCATTTGTAAAAAGGGCAAAAGTGCGAAAAAAGGGCAAAAGCCGAAGTGTGGAATAAAAGTTAAAAGTTCCCAATAAGTTAAAGGTAATTCAAAAACAATTTTTAATAATTATAAAATACGTATAAAATTTTTTTTATGAGCCTATGTTTATTAAAAAGTATTTTAATTCATAAAAATGCTTCAAAAGCGTCTGATGTTTTACTTTTCTATTCAAAACTTTAATCGCTTTTTAATCGAAAATAAGTTAAGGCAGGCGAGGATGCAGCATTTTTTGATGTTTGAGATACCTAACTTCCAGACATGGACCAAACTCCAAAAAATTGTATGTTTATACTTATATTAAATAAGGATGCTTTGCAAAGACTTGCAATGATTGGAGCCTGGTAACAATAAAGCCCTAAAATTTTAGCTACACCTAAAGTTTTAGCTACATCTAAATTTTTAGCTACACCTGCCCTAAACGTGAGAACAACAAGTTGATAAAATAGTTTTTATACTATTCTTACCTAAATCTCTATTTATCGACAAGTTTTAAAACTTACACAAAAATCTTTTAGCGTTCAAAAAAGACCATAAAAACTTTGAACCCCCTCAAATTGAGGGGGTTGCAAATTTTATAAGGCCATAATTCTTAAACGCTAAGAGATTATTGTGTGAGTTTTAAAATTTATCAATGAATATATACTTGGTTAAGAATAACAGAAAAAATATTTTATCAACCTGTTGCTCTCACGTTTGGAGCAGGTGTAGCTAAAATTTTAGGCCTATTAATATTGATAATTATATTTATTTTCCAGTCAAACTCTTTTTTTTTTTTTTTTTTAAAAAAAAAAAAAAAAAAAGAGTTTGACTGGAAAATAAATATAATTATCAATATTAAAGATATTAAAAACATAGCTAAAAAAATTAAGTTTATGAAGAGAATTTCACAAAGTTGATAAGCTAAATTGCGTACCAAAATAAAACTAGAGAGTGTTTTTGTAACGCATTTAAGGTTATGTGACGTAACTTATTGCTTAAAAATATAAACAAAAATTCACGCAAAAAACAAATTTAGTGCTAAACATGCCAAGTTTGAAAACATTTTTGATAACATAGCTAGAGGTACAAAAATAATTTCATGTTTTCATCTGCATAAAAGGTCGAAATTTCAATAACTTACATCATCCATCAAAAATATTATATTTTACATTTAAAAGAGATAAATTTAAAAGTATAAATGCATTAAAAAATGAGCTGTAGTCAAAAAATCACCAGAATGACGCAGGAATCTAGTAGAATCGACATATATTGATAAGTGTTCCTAATTTCAACTATTAAGCATGTAGCTATGTTATCAAATCTTGGTTACCCCAAGGCAGGTTTTCCGTAAAAATCGCAAAAAACAGAAAAGTGATCAAAATGATTAGCAAAATTTTAACAATATTTTTGTTCTGTATAATGTAAATAATTATTAAAAAAGGATATTTATATTTTTTTAATTTGCAAATAAAACCGTTTAAAAAAAAATTATTATTTCATAGTTAATAAATTTTTATACTTTCATGCGGAATTTTTTTTTTTTTTTTTGCTAAACTCGTGACGTAATGTCCATTTTTACATTGAGTGAAATATATATAAAAAGCAATATATATATATATATATATATATATATATATATATATATATATATATATATATATATATATATATATATATATATATATATATATATATATATATATATATATATATATATATACAGGTGCCAGGGTGTCGCGAATGATGCGCATGCATCAGTCTTTTTTCAATGCTAAATTTAAGTGTATCTCTTTTTCACTTTTTTTTCTTAATAAAAAGTAAAAGTAGAAATTGGAATCTGGTATTCTCAAAAAATAAAATACTTGTTTGAAACTCGAAAAAAATTCATTTAATTTTATCTCTATAGTTACTTATTCGTTACTTATACAAAATTCCTGCGTTTTGGAGCAACTGATGCAATTGTTCTTCATTAAATACAAATGTGATTGGTTAAAAAAATAAAAAGTACGTTTTAACTAATCATATTTGTACTTTTTCACAAATTTTTCCGATCACTTTGTAGCAACTGATGCAGTTTAAACCAATCACTATTTAATAAAATAACAATTGCATCAGTTGCTACAAAACTTCCGCAAAAAACTTTACAAAAAAGATAAGAAATGTTATTTATAACCAATCAAATTTGTAGAAAGTTTAGAACAATTGCATCAGTTGCTCCAAATCGTTCAAATTTGACAAAATTCTGATACGCCACCTGATAAACGTTCTTCGCTTGTAATTTTCGTCATTGGACTTAGTTTGTAAACTAAAGTTTAAAAAAAAAAGAATTGTTTAGTCTCAAATGCAATTAAGGCTAGACATTTGCCAAATATTCGCAAATATAAAAACCAGTTGACTGAAGAATTGAAAGTTTTAAATAATATTATTATTTGAACTGAACTGAACTGAAGCTGAACTGGACTCTTATTATTAATAAGAGTCCAGTTCAGCCACATAGTCAGTCTTCTGAAAATACTGAAATGGATCGTTTTATCCCAAAGCAAGAAGATACTAAAGATTATGTTGCTTTAAGGTAAAACCCTATTATTAAAGTTAATGGTATTTTATATTTCCAGCTAGTATTTAATATAAACTGAGCTTGTTTTAGTATACTTTTTATTTTATTTAAGGTCATCTGAAGATGGAAATTGCCTCTATAGTTCAGCTTCTCTTTTAAGCAATTCGTCTCTGAAGACAGTTAATGTATTGAGGCTTCTAACTTCGATTGAATTGTTTGAAAAAGCTTCCTACTATGCGAGGTACTCCCTTTTTGTTAAACAGGTTGAAAACAATAATTCTAATCTTTCCAGTGTTCTAGTAGCCTGTGTTTCTTTTGAATGTTCAGATCAATTTAAATTAATTAACAGTGAATCAGCTTCTGAAATTATAATAATGGAAGCATTGATCAACTGCCAAGCTAACAAGTTTTCTTCGTTTTTATGTCTAATTGCTTTGTCATCAGTTTTAAATATTCCTATTAGATCAATTTATCCTGATTTTGGCTTAGAAAAATTCAAAAAACTTTTTAATGCAATTATTCCATTTCGTTAAATTAAAAATCAAGATCAAAATGTTTTGAATATTTTATGGTGTAATACTGATATTATGTCAGTGATGCAAAATAATAATAGCTGGACACCGAACCATTTTGTACTAATTATTATAAGCCTAAACTAATTTCTAGCATTAATTAGATTTTGGCTATAAAAAACGATGCTACTTATTCTTTACACTTTTTTAGTCCTAAAACTGAAACAAATAAAAAAAACAACTTGATTCTGCAAAACATGTCAAAATTCAATCTAAAATTAACTTTAAAAAAGACAATGCTTTCATAGAGTTGCCTTTTGAACCTTTTGTAGATTCAAAAATAGTTAAGTCATTAGACTCCAACTCAGTTATTATTCCTTCATATAATGAATTAAATTCTTTGTATGACGTTTCAACATATCTTGTTTGAGGTAAACTTTTAATCGCTGGCAAAGATGATTCTATTTTGTTAGATATGATAAACAAAGTATTTTGTCCTAATTCTATGTTTGTTTTTCCAATATCTTTAAATACAAAAAGATCATTTAAATTTGAATGGCTCAGCCAGTTTTCTTGGTTAGCTTATTCTAGCAAAGAAGATGGAGCTTACTGTCTTGCTAGGTGCTAGTATTCCAAATAAGTCTGGAATATTAAATTTAGTTTTCAAGCCCCATCAAGAGTGGGGTAATGCTGTTCGTGATTATAGAAAACGTGTGGAAAATTGTGTTTTACATAAAAAAAATCTATGCTTTCATTTAATGCATTGCTTTCACGTTGCAATATTAAAAGTAATGTTATTGAGGTTGATTTAAATAATTCTCGTTTGAAACTTCTTTCTGATAACCGAAAAAAATTAGTTCCAATAATTAAAACAATAATATTTCTTGGTAGAAACGATCTAGCATTTCGTGGATATCGTGATGATAGCAAATATCATCCTGATATTGGGGAATCTTCTACACAAAAAGTAGGAGTTGGTAACTTCATAGAGCTTTTAAATTTTCGTGTTGATGCTGGGGATCAAATATTATCTAATCATCTTTCTTCAAGTCCAAAAAATGCAACCTATATATCAAAAACTACCCAAAACCAACTTATTGATTCTTGTGGGAAATCAATTGAGGAAGTTTTAATAAAAAATGTCAAGCATTCAATTTTTTTTTCAATTCTTTGTGATGAAGCAGTTGACTGTTCAAATACGGTGTCCTATGATTCAACCGAATCCCTAATTTCAATTTAGAACCGAATATGAGAAATTTATTACACAACCGAAAATATTTACAAAAAAAATTAGAACCGAAAAAATTTCAATCAAATTTTCGATCGAAAGTCATAAATGATTTTAGAACCAAAAAAATTTCGATAGAATTTTCAATCGAAAGTCATTAATGATTTTAGAACCGAATGTATGTATGTATGTATGTATATATATATTTTAATAGTAAAATTTTAATAATAAAAAAAAAATAGATTAAAAAAAGAAAGGATTTTGTAATTCGATCCTGCAATGAAATTATACTTTTCAGTTCTAAAATTTTCGGTTGTGAAATATTTCGGTGATATTTTCGAGGATAAATATTTTCGGCTCTATCATGTGACACGTTTAAATACTGAACAAATGTCACTTGTTTTAAGATATGTAAATTCAAATAATGAGATTTGCGAGGATTTCTTAAGATTTATTGATTGCAAGACTGGTACATCTGGTCTTAGTCTATCTCTAAATGTACCTAATGCACTTCAAGAGTTCAGACTTGATATTCAAAATTGTAGAGGTCAAGGGTTGACCTCTACAATTGCAAGACGGTGCGGGTTGTATGGCAGGTGAGTATAAAGGAGTTGCTTCTCGAATAAAAGCTCTTAATCATAAAGCTATATTTGTTCATTGTGCAAGCCATAGATTTAGTGTAGTAGTAGCAGCTGCATGCCAAGTTCAAAAAGTAAAAAATCTTTTTGGACAAGTAAAAGAAATTTCTTATTTTTTTAACTTATCTCCTAAGCGTAGTAACTGTCTCAAAAAATATTTAAGTCCAAATCAAGAAAAAATAATAGATACTTGTTGAACAACATGGGTTCAACAACTGAGAGGTGTTGATGTTTTTTTTGATAATTTTATACTTATTATTCATGCTTTAGAGGAGATGGGATTAAATGAGTCAAAGGAATATAACAGTGAAACTGCTTCCAAATCCTCTACTTTTTTAAGATTATTAACAGATTTCTCTTTTATTGTAAGTTTAGTTATTACAAAACAATTAATGGATTTTTTTAATGCAATTACTGTAACTCTTCGAACTAAATCTTTTGACATATCCCAGCAGTGTTTTGAAATAACTAATCTAAAAAATCTGTTATTAGAAATTAAAAATAAAATTGATATATATCACACTGAATGGTACGCTATCGCTCTTAGTTTAGCCAAAACTTTTGATATACAAGAAGTGAGACCTAGATTGTGTAATGTCCAGGTTTACCAGGATAATTATCCAACAAATACAGTTTGTGACTATTTTAAACATAGCATTACTTCTCCATTAGTTGAAAATCTTATTGATGAGCTAGATAATAGGTTTCCAGAAAATGACATGTTTGTTTATAAAGGTCTAGCAGCAGTTCCTTCAACTGTACTATCCAGAATACAAGTTAAAAAACCATGGAAATCTGATTTTTTATAAATTTTTAAATTTCTATTTATCTGATATGCCTCATTTTACTTCAATACATGCTGAGTTAGATTTATGGGAATTATTTTGGAAAAACCAGTCAAGTATTCCTTCAACTGTTGCTGGTACTTTAAAGTCCATTGACATGAGAGGTTTTCCAAATATAAGGACAGCATTTATAATTTTAGGAACAATTCCAATAACAACTTGTGAATGTGAAAGAAGTATTTCAGTTATACGTAGGCTAAAAACATACTCCAGAAGAAATATAATTGAGTCTCGCATTTAACTCTTTAGCATTAATGTCCATAAATCAAGAAATTTCTCCAGATGTTGAAAGAGTCATTGACATTTTTTCAAAGTCAGGTGTAAGACGTTTAAATTTAGCTTTTATTTAGTAGTGTACTAACTTTTATTTTACTTTTTTCTAATTTGATTTTTACTAATATTGTGTGTGTGCGTGCGTGTGTGTGTGTGTGTGTGTGTGTGTGTGTGTGTGTGTGTGTGTGTGTTAGGGCAATTCCATTTTTACCATTTAAAATTGGTATAGATGTGGAAAATTCTGTAACAAAAACTAAGAATAATGGTGTAACTAAAAAAACTTGAGTTACTTTTTAAAAAAGTTTTATGTGCTGAACATAAAAAATCAAAAGGGAACAAATCCAGCATTGTTTATTTGGAGAAAAATTTTGATTCATTGTTTGATTTGTCTGCTTGTAATTGTGAACTACCTGTTGCTAATTGTGATGACAGGTATAATAAAAACTTTTTCATAGAGTTTTAAATTTAAGTAATATTTTTATTAACTTACTTTAAATATTTTTCAAATTTATTCTAAAATGTAAATAACATTTAACAAATTAGTTAAATCATTTCTGCAGACTGGTTAGATGTGACATTAAAGATTGTTTTAAAAAGCATATATTATGCAACTGTGATGAAGAAAAAAAGGTATTTAGCAACTTAATTTTTAGACTACAAAAATCAATTTTTTAAGGACATTTACTACAGCAAAAAATATTTCATTAGGAGTGTTTACTTTTTTTTTTAATTTAGGTACCAGTAAATGAAAGGGAGTACCTAAATGACCAAAGAGCTAAAAAAGGTGGAAAAGGGTCATTTCAGATTGGCAAAATTGATCAAAAAGGACTAATCAAATTAAAGAATAAACAAGTAATTGGAGCATTATACAAACAAGAGTTCTGTGTGGAAAGTCTTGAAGAATCAAATTTAGTGGTAAATAGGCATATGTATATTATTTGTTAGTGATTTGTATGTATAATTAAATATTTAGGAGGAAGTGCCTTAAATTGGTACTTAAATTGGTTTAACCAGTATATTTTTTAATTCAAATCTATTTAATTTTTGTTTAGTGTGATGATCCTTGTTTTGATGATAGTGATTGTGATGATGGTGAAATTAAATATGATCCAGATTTTTATGAAGAGATGTCTACTTTACATAATTACAAACACTTGCCTAACTTTGCAAAAGCAGCAATACGTTATGGAATTAGTAACAATGCTGCTGCTCATTTAGGTACAGGATTACTCATTGACTATGGCATTGTAACAGCTGCTGAAAGAACTAATATCATTACAGAAAAGAAAGTTTTTAGTGAGAAGTTTAGAATAGGAGAACAACTTGAAATTGATCATCGTAAAGAAGTTTTTCAATTAAAAGTTATCGGAGTTGATGATAAAAAAGATAAAGAAACGCTTGTTCACACAATTGCTTACAATTCAGAAGGTGAGCCAATTATAATACCTGGAATTGAAAAAGAAGCACATCTCACATTTACTGCAGAAAGTGGAACAAAAAAAAGAAAATATTTAACACATAAAATTATTACAAGTGGAACTGGAGTTTCTAAAGCAAATGCAACTAAAGAAGTTCTAACTGAGTTTAACAGCACCGAAACTCTTGAAGCTATGGTTCTTGACAATACAAGTTCAAATACTGGTACAGACAATGGTCTTGTTGTTAAGCTAGAAAAATTTATAAATAGAAAATTACATTTAGTTGGATGTCAACTCCACCAAAATGAATTGCCATTAAGACAAGTAATTATTCTACTTGATGGAAACACAAATGATCCAAAGAAATATAAAGGTCCAGTTTGTTCATCAGTTTCAGAAAATTTCATTCATGAACTTCCTTTAATAGTTTTTTCTACAATAATGTCCGAAATTCAGTCATTTGTGGATGAGCGTGTTGTTTCTGATTTAAGTAATGATCAAAGAAAATTATATGAATACACCATTGGTATATCTACAGGTAAAGTTTCAAAAAAGTATGCAATGACAAAACCTGGACCTGTGAACCATGCAAGGTGGTTGACACTTGCATTACGGATTATGTATAAATATACTAGAGAAACAAATCCATCGGCAGAGTTGGTTATGATAACGAAGTATATAGTCCAAGTATATTCTCCAATTTGGTTTGCTATAAAACGATCAGGTCATTATAAAGATTCAGCAAAGATTCTGTTTAAATTGATTGAGTTGACTAAATTGCAAGATAAAAAGATACAAGAAGTCGTCTTTAAAAACTTAGCTGGAAATTCATTTTGCTGTTTACAGGAGAATTTTCTCTATTGCATGATAATGGACGATGAGAAAGTAAATCGCGACAAAGCCATAGATCGAATACTCATTATTAGGAAGCTAAATGAGGAAAATAAAGAATTTGTTCCTAAGCTTAAACCCAAAACAATAATGAAAATTGATTTTGATTGTAACTGCTGGATTGATCTTGTTCAAATATGCCAAATTGAAGTGGAACCTCCTACTACAATTTATATTTCATCTGTTGAACTGATAAACGCAAAAGAATCTGGAGAGATTTTACCGCTTACACTTCTTCCAAACAACTCTCAGTCAGTTGAACGTGCAGTTAAGTCAGTAACCGAAGCATCAAAACTGGTATATGGTCTCAAAAAAAGACACAACTTTATTCTTACTAAAGATCAGAGTAGGAAAGAAAATTATAGAAATGTTACCAAAAGCAATTATTTTGTTCCAATCATTTAAAAAAAAAACTGTTAAATGTAACACTTGTAATATTAATTATAATAAGAACAATTTATTTATTTGAACTTTATTTAGGTAAATTTATAAAAATAAATTTATATTAGTTTTCCAAGGTTTAGGTATTAGAAAATGAACTGATACGATTTTTTTTAAGCAAAATAAAAGGGTTAAAGAATAAAATCATTTTTAAGCCTTGTTTTTGGGATGGTCTAGGAATTATTTAGGAAAGGTGACACAAATCTTAAATAGGCTTTTTATAAAAAAGTGCCCTAAAATAATTTTTTTTTTTTAATATATTGGTCAGAGCAGTGGGGAGAATTCCCCACGCAACTTTACTAACTACTAACTGGAAGAAGAGGCAGTCTGAAAAAGCTGTTCTTTTATTAATTTTTTTTTAGTAATAATTTAGTAATATAGTAATATAAATTTATTTTTATAAATTTAAATAAATAAAGTAAAGCTATAAAGAGAAAGTTTCTTTAGACATTTATGAGTGGAGGTCCCCGGGGGCATAGAGAGTTACCAGATGGCTTAAGAAAAACCCTAATTGGCAACCTAATTATTCTGAATTTTTATATATCAGTGAAGGACCTTATTTTTTAACGTAACTTTTCTTTGACACCCCTTGGACATCTGCTGACCGGGACAAACTGTCATGTCAATGATATTGATCATTATTATTTTTGTTCAACTTCTGTTTTGCTTTTATCATATTATTGTATTGCATGGGTGGTTGGCCGTAAAATATTTATATTAATGTTCTTTGCTATCAGTGATAGCTAACAACATTGTTAAAAGCCTTAAACATAAGATTTGAACCAGTTTTTGTTAAATGCTTTATTCAACGAAAGTTTATGTATTTGCACAAAAATAACCAATTTTATCAATTTTTAAATATTAAAGCCCGAATCCTTTTTATGTTTTTTTTATTTTTTTATTTTTTTAATGTGCTTAGTTTTATACATTAAATCTTCCACGCCCATACCAATTTTTGTTTTCGAAAAATTTTGCTCAGTGGAATTGCCCTAGTGTGTGTGTGTATTTAAAATATAGAACTTCAATAAAAAAATATAACAAAAATTATTATAACAAAAAACATTTTAAAATTAAAAAAAAAAAGAATCCAGATATGGAGGGCTAACCTTAGGCAAGATTAATAATATAATATAAGATTAATAATATAAAATAAAATAAAGATAAAATCCAGAAATGGAGGACTAACCTTTATTATTATATTTCTAGTTACTTAACCTAATATTACTTAACCTTAATAAATAACCTAATATTACTTTACATGACGTGCCTCTCAAGAAAAGGAAAGAATCCAGAAATGGAGGGCTAACCTTAGGCAAAATGACAGTATACAGATGAAGTGCAAAGTCCTATGGCTTACCTTCTCGTTGGTGCACTTTGTTAAGTAAATTAGGCTTAAAATTACATGTCTAATTTATGAACAAAATAGCCAAGGCAACATTTGTAAAAATTTCTGCTAAAAATGGATACTGCAAAAGAAATACAATATTTAGTTACTATTCAATGATATAAACAGCGACGCCACTCGTAAAAAAAGCTGCCTGGGGCGTGTCCGCCCCACCCTCGCTACGCCTTTTAATGTTTCTCCACTTTTTGTATTGACTATACTTAAACCCTAGAGAAGTTGCGGGGGGGGGGGGGCGTCAATAAAAAAATTTCGCATCACCCATTTAAAATGCTAGATCCGCCCCTGATATATATATATATATATATATATATATATATATATATATATATATATATATATATATATATATATATAGATACTTTCTTATTTTATATATATATATACTAAGATACTTTCTTATTTTGTGACCAAACTAATTCAAAAATAATACTCAATAAATTGTCTGATTTTGATGCTGCTAAAAGTATGTTACAAAATAAGAATGCTTTGAACACATCACCCCAGCTCCGTCAGACAAGAGCTGAAAATATTTATGAGATCGGAAAAGAGCTGCATGGCTTTAAACTTAGCACACTTTTAAATGTAAGGTAATCTGCTTGACTTTTTCAAACAAACCCTGAATATGTGAACTATTACTTTCTACTCAAAAAGTATATTTTTGTTGTTATGATAAAACTGCTGGCAACAAATGGTCTGCATGTTCTATGTTACACTTTAAATTATCAATTGCCTCGAATGCAAAGCGTGTTTAATTAATTTGAAATTTATGCGCTGGATACATGACCGTTTCAAATCAAAAGTTTTTAGTAGAAACACTAGACGATTGGAGAAATGCCTTCCCGATATCTAACAAAAGACTAGAACCATTCGATAATATAAATAAACATGATACGAGATAAGTTTCCGAAATTTCTGAGTTTTCAAACTTCTTGGTTGTTTGTCCATTTAAGATATATTTACTCAGAGAAATTGAAATATTAAAGGCTAGTTGTAATTTAATTATATATGTTAATTTTTTAACTATGTAGAGAAAACTGGAAATGTATTGTTTTATGTGTGTTAAATACCATATGTCTAGATAAAAGTGCCTGATAAACAGAAATAAGCATACATATATCTGTTATTTTCTTATTAAAAATTCAGACTTTTTGACGCTTAACAATTTCTAAGTGAACAAAATTAGACATTTGATCTTATTACTAACTATATTGATAATCAGAAAGTAAGTTATTAGATTTAAGATGAGAGATTTTGTTAATTTGATCTTATTACTAACTATATTGATAATCAGAAAATAAGTTATTAGATTAAGATGAGAGTGTTTGTTAATTTAAGATTCAAAAACCTTGCTAATAAAGGGAAAAAGACTAATGAGACAGTAGTTAGACGAATCAGATCGCTCTTCAGAACTTTTTAAAATAGGGATAACAGATGCTGCTTTCCAGCAGGCTGGAAAACAAGACTATGATAAACACTTGTCGAATAGTTTTGAAAGGATAGACGACAGCTCTGGATAACACTTCTGCAAGACTTAAACAGGTATGTTGTCTGGGCCACAAGCTGTAGAAGAGTCTAAGCAGGAAATCACTTTAGATACAGAAGCTATAGTGATACGAATGTCAAGCAATGGATCAACCTGTTTGACTGCTATATTAGGTTGAACGCAACTAGTAGAATCAATAGATGATACTGATGAAAAGTTCTTAGCAAACAATTCAGCTTTGTCTTTAGGTGAGGTGACAAAGTCATACAAAAGAAGTGGAATTACAGACTTGCCCTTATTATTGATACTATTAAAGATTCTCCATAAGTCACGAGAGCCTAATTTTTGTAATGAAATACAAGATTTCATGACCTGAGAATAGCGGGCTTTGGCGTTATATAAAACCTTTTTACAATGGTTCCTAACAGTAACAAACAGACGTCTGTTTTCTGGAGAATTTTTTGGCTGATATATATGGAAGTAATGGTTTCGATTGGCAATTGCAGCAGCACAGTGTGAGGACAACCATGGAGAAGAGTGAGGCTTGACATGGAATCGTCATGAGGGGATAAAGGATTCCATGCCAGCCTGAAGCCACAAAGTTATGTAAGAAACACATTTTTCAACAGGAATACGAAAGATTTCTACACAAAGAAAATCATGGAAAAAGTCCCAGCCAGCTTTAAGGTAGTTCTAAGATGTACGATGATAGGGGGATTCTGATGATAAAGAAGAATGAGATAACAGTTTTATAGAGATTTTCAAATTAAAATAGCTTTGCACAAGTATATTATAATGATATCTTAAACTTGAAATTTTCAAAAAGTTGACATCTGTCGTTTTACCCACATTATATATAATACATATATATATTATTACATATATATGTATTGTATACCGCCCCCCCCCCCAAATATAATATAATTATTTTTTGATTATGTAAGTCCTGAGACTGGGCTAGTTTTTATTATCCTAGAACATAATGAGCAGCAAGTCGAATGCCTCTTGTTCTGCTGCATGGAAAGTTGATCCCGACTTCTTGGCTTTCCAAGCTTTTGTCAAAAACTTGGCAGTTGTAAATAATGTTGCAGAGAAATCTGTAAAGGCAGTTTAGAAGGCAGTTGAACTGAGTTACCAGGAGAAGAAGCTCCAAAAAATGTTTCTTGTGAAGAGTAAAGTTGACAAACCCCTTCCCAGAACTAAAGTTGTTTACAATAAGGCTGCTAAGCAACTGACTCCAGCAGAAAAGCTTAGTCTCGTATATGAGTAAGAGGCTTTGATGAAACAGAAGTTTTCTTTTTCAGCAACAGTGAACTTGACAGCAATATAATTTTTTTAGGAGAGAATGATGTTCTGGAGGCTCATATACTAACCTTAATGAGGATTCCATCAAAGTGTAACTGAGCCTTCTGATTACCATTTAATCTTATTTTGTATGACAATCTTTATATTGTCTGCATCTTGGTTAATGATATTATTTTTCCTTCGAAAAGCCGAGGTATAGAAAAGTGGAAATTCATTGACCTACTGCTTCTTTAATCAGCTTAATTAATGTTGCAGTCATTTTATGAGCTGATATATCTTAAGCTTGAGTAGTTCTCATGGTTTCCTCAATAACTCCTTTAGTAACACTGATGGTCTAATTTTGTTTTTTGTTTTTCAGAACAGGTGTGAATTCATTCTCTGAGTTTGACTCAGAACTTGATTTTGAAGAGAGGTATATCTACAACAACAGAAACTCCAAAAACAATAATAACTACAACAATATATTTACAAGAAATAGGGTAGAGCGGGGCATATCGGACAGTGGGGCATAGCGGGACAGTTATACCTGAAGCCTTATATCTCAGCTAAAAAAAAATTTTTTCAAAAATTTTTTTTGATAAAATATTTTAAATTGTTGTGCTTTATTATTGTAAAAAAATATATTTAGAAATACCAAAATGCATTAAAAGTACCAAAATGCATCAGTAAGTTTGTGAAAAACAAAACTTGCATATTTTCTTAAGCGATGCAACGACAAAAGATTTATATTAAACTATTGCGAATATGCTATATTTTTAAAAGTTTATGTTCTTCAAACAGTATTTTGTATCCTCTTTTAGGATATTTATTCTAAAATTATTAAAAAATAT